AGGACTAGAACCTGGGTCATCCGACTCAGAGCCCAGTGCACTGACCACTGGACTACTGAACAAAGCTGTGGCATTTGGCGTGCTTGTGGCACAGTTGACCACGCATGTTAAAAATAGCACCTTGTACGGTCATACAGTTGTACAACCAAATTTTTTCGGCTTAATGGGTTACTGCTAATTGTATAATTATGGGGCTACGCTCTGCGAGCTCCACTATAATAAAAGTTCTGCTGACCATTTGACCCCTAAGAGAGGTCAGTATCTAACTTCTCCTTACAATATCACCCCTGAATCAATTGCTAAGGTCACAAGATTAAATTTAAAGTTAAACAAGTTCTTCTTGTCACCATCTAAGGGAATGTGCAGAGAACAGTACAGAGAATATGCCTACTGATGTTAGTGTCAAGTTACATCTAGTTGCAGCAAATCAAATCCCACTATCATGAGATCAGTTCTCTGAATTGTCTGCTGTACATTTCTTACCATATCATTTCTGAGAATTAGTCTAGATTGTATAGATAAATAATTTGTTGGTCACTTCTGCAAGTGGAAGGGCTAATATTGATGGTACTGTTGCACAATGCTCAACTTGCTTTTAGTTATTACCTTGTCAGAAACAATATAAAAGGAACAAGATTTTCAGCTGCTACTTACCAAGCTCACAGAGGGTAGCCACACAAGCTTTCCGTAATCTGTCAGCATCATCACCTTCATCATTACCAATGGACACAAGAGTTGCAGCCATTGACATGGGACACAGATGAGGACTCACAGCAATTATCTGGCAAAGAACAGACATAAAGTCCTGAACTATTACTGACTGTAAAAAAGGCGGAGTATACTTATGCGCTGAGACACCCATCCTGTCTGAGCAAGTTTTTTCCTGTTTCTATAGGAGGGAGAAACTAGGGGTACCATATGACACCATCCCCTCCCCCCTGGGATGGGATGCCAGTCCATCAGAGGTCATTCTCAGCATTTATCTCATTTGTAAAGTGCTTTACCCATTTATAGTCATTTATAGTCAAAGAAAGGCACTGTGACAGTCACACTTCTTAAGAACACAACACTTTCAGTACATGTACATGTAATGGGATACTATTATAATAACATAAAAGGTTGGCAGCTGTTAACAGTAACCAGGTTTTTTAAAATATTTTGAAATAGGTTCAGACTTGGCAAAAGTAAGCAACTGTGAAATGTTTGTTAAGGGCCAAAAGATTACTATTTGACCAGAGTAACCAGCCAGTGGAACTCCAGTAGTCACTGGCTTGTTTTGAAATCCCTGAGTAATAATGGTTACAAACCTTGCGAATGAATCTTAATGCTTGAACACGTTCCACTTCAAAGGCATTGTGAACCATGTCCATTGATCTAGTGAAAGGAAAACAAATAAAACTAAAAAAACCATATTCAAGTAATACCATAATTCCTGATAATAATGATGCCATTGCTTTGTTTTTCACTTTGATCGTCTCAACCAAACATGAATTTTATGACATTGACAAAGATATGTGAAATGTTTTATGTTCTCAATGGTGACTGTAAGTAGAGGGTTTTCAAAATGTTTTGAAGTAGGCATCAGACTTGGCAAAAGAAGGTGACGGTGAAAAGTTCATTAATGCTTTAACTCCCAAGATCTGATTGTTAATTCTCCCCTGTAGCTGCTACACATTTCCTTGTAAATTAGTTATAAGAACTTGGTACTAGATTAAGGTAGCAGCTTCTACCTGATAAGTTTGAATATTCTCATCACCTGTTTACTGAATTATGTATGGATATTTTAGGGAGAAGTTTCATGTTTATCACTTCAGCGAATTAAAGGGCTTAGGGCCAAAAAGAAAGTATTTTGATTGGAGTAACCAGTGACATCTTATTAAGTAACTGGCAGAACTCTGTTGGTCACCAGCTTGTTTTGAAATCGTTATAAGTAGCCAAACAGGAAGCCATCTGTCTGTCTGCAGCCACTTAGAGATGACTAGTGTTTTGCTTATTGCATGTGAACTCACCAATCAGCACAAGCTAAAGGCACCATTCACTCTTAAGGTACATGTATGTATCCAATAATTAGCATTTTGTTCACAATATGTTAAAGTCCTGTTATATATATAAGCTAGCTGTTACCTGACAATGAAGATGTCAATCCTGTATTCAAGTATTTTAGACAGAGTTTTTTCATCATAAAAGAGATGACGAAATGCTCGCAGTCCAGCTGCTCTGAGTTCTTTAGCAGCTGAAACTAGTGGAGGCATTAAGCTAAAGACAAAAGTATGAAAAAGACATAAAATAAAGTTACTGAACATCTTCAAACTGAAAACATCATCTATCAAAACAGTGCCAACAGCAGTTATAACATCATGTACCTACTCAAAAATTAAACAAAAAAATGCAAGACTAAGGGTACAGAGTGAATATAGATGAATGCAAAAACATTCATTTTTTTTTACATTTTTTGTTAATCTTTTAGGGTGTTTTTAGCATTCTTGGTGCTTTTAGTGTTTCATGTACAGTAAACTCCCCATACCTCAAAACAGTAAATCAATGTTTATGATGATCAAAAAAAATATTTTTACTGAAAACCTACCATTTGATGATGTCTTCCAGAGAGTAACCAAAGTTGGCATTCTCACCTACATTTTGAATTAACTATGCAGAGAAAGAGAATGACACATGATTACTGATAAGTATATTGATTTCAAATTTCTTAACTGCACCAAGAGTAACAAGCCTTCCCTTGCAGCTAAGAAATTCACTTTCCAGCACCATAACACTTTTTTCCTAAACACTAACTCTCGTTTATATCAAAGCCTAAACATGTTTTAAAGCTGTTTTGTTAAACAGTGTAGTTTAAAATTGTTTTCTTCAAGAAACTGCTGAAGCAGGGGTTTCAATAAAGGTTACACACTGCCGGTTGTGAGGACAGTTTTGCCAACCTGGTTTGACCAAGTAGGCAAAATCAGAGGAAATACCAGAGGAAAGTTTATCTTATAGCAAAGTTCAGGTCAAAATGTTTTGCCCATCTGTGAGAACCAGTTGCCCTCCTGCTGAAAATGTTAAAGAATCCCCTCTCCTTGAACACATGTTTTTTACTTCAAATTTAGCATATTGAAAATTGAAGTTATTGAAGACTTGAAACCTATGGGAACTTGAGTTTTGTTTTGTTTTGTTTTTTTCATTTCTCTGTTTTGGATTTTCATTCAGCAAAACTTGGATTATTTACATATGTTTTCTGGTGTTTAAGGTGTAAATATCAAATAAAAAACTTGAGGTAGAATCTATACACTAGAGAAATGAGACGAGCAATTTTTTTTTACTCAGAAAATTTTTCAAATTAATATGACTTTTTCTCGTTTACTCTGTTTTCAGATCATGATAATGACCACAGAAAGAAAAAGAAATGACAAATCAAGCTGCTTTGTACACATGTACCTTTGTGAAGTTATTAATATAACCCATTCTTTTCGTTGTTGACATCATTTCTTTGCTGGAAATTTGGTTTAAGAGATCTTTCATGTTATCAGCAGGATCTGTTTAAAACAAAATATAAGAATGGCCAACAGAATCTTTGATTTACCTCTCAGACTATAGGCACTTCCTCTCTGTTTTTATTTACTTAAAACATTCACACTTTTCTCCACCACAATTCAAAGTATTTAACCCTTTGACTCACAGGATCTGATTATTAATTCTCCCCTCTAGCTGTTACACATTTCCTTGTAAATTAGTTGTGAGAATTTAGTGTCAGATCAAAATAAAAACTTCTACCTGATAAGTTTGAATATTCTCATTACCTGTTTACTGGATAATGCATGGATATCCTCGGGAGAAGTTACATGATAATCTATTCTGGGAGTTTATGGGTTAAAACAGTTTAAGAGCATTAAAAAGATCTTTAGAATTAAGAAAAAAAAATTAGTTTGCATTGAAGCACTATACCAGATATAGTTTCCAATAAAAAGTCAAATTTTCCTCACACCCATACCACCCCTCCCATAATTCCCCAAGCTCCCCATCTCTAAGACTATCATTGACGTCCCCACCCCCACCCCCACACCAAAAACACGTCAGTAAGCCCAGTGCCCGGTGATATTCGGAGATGTAAACGTATTTTACGGTTGTTTACAATACCTTCTTAGCTCTCTCTCTTTCTCAAACGTATACGCATAGAAGGCAATAAATAGCTATGAGAAGCTGGTGATCTTCACCAAAAACATGTTTTAAGAAAGAAAACAACCCAGTGTACTACAACCCGTAGTAAAATTTCCCGCATGTCAAAGAACCAAAATTTATGTTGACGACTACAAAAGAGTATTGTAATTGATGGACTGTAAAATGAAAAATATGTACATTTATAGTTATTTTGCAAGATATAACGACGAATTAGGTGAAGAATGAAAAATTAATCAATGCTGGCCAGTCGATCTAATTTAGTACACCAATCAAACTCTGGGTAACTGAATGATCAAATCCTCTTGAACACAGAGCGAGACAAAAGTACTAGTGAACTGAAACATTTAAATTTTCTGCTTTTAGATAGAGCTGGATGGGTTTATCAAAGTTAACACGCAAACGCAAAATAAGCGATGTTTGCAAAACAGACATTTTTGAGAACTAAATATTTTACTTACCACGGCTCAGATCGAGGGGGGTGGGTTCGTCGAGATTTTCAAACCTCGCGCCTGCAAGAAAGAGTCGGAAAATTAGCTTTTTCAACAAAACACTGAGTAGGACTTCCTGTCAAAACCTCATCCGGACCTGAAAAATTCCTCCTCATGTCGAAATCTGCCGTGAAAAGGGGCAATTCACAACAGAAATCTGACCCTTTGCCGGTCGTAAATTCGTCAAACTTGTTCCCAGAGTCCCCATTCCTTTAGCAAGAAAGACTCTGGGAACGAACTTTATTGTTGATTTACCTCACTGCGCTTGCTCAAAATAGAGCGCTCGTCCTCGTTCTAGCAAGCACAGCGGATACTACCAATCACTATTGGAAACAAAACACTTCAGAGCAATCTAATAAGACAAGTTTCCGATGGAAAACTAAGAAGTCATATTCTACATCAGTGGATGCCAACCGTTTGATCATGGATCCTATAGAAGAAAATGTGTTCTTAGAGGAACATATGAAAGTTACTTTCAGTGTCATGAACGAGTTACGAAAAAAAAAAGAACTATGTGATGTCGTTCTTCACGTAGGAGACCTGGAAATCTACGCTCACAAGGTTGTCTTGGCTTCATTTAGTCCATATTTTTACGCCATGTTTACGAGCGACGTATTGGAAAGTCGCCAAAACAGCATAACACTAAAATCGATGGATCCGAATAGTGTGGAACTTTTGATCGAGTTCGCTTACACAGCGCAGATTCGAATCACTGAAGAAAATGTTCAAGACGTGCTACCGGTATCCTGTATATTACAAATCTGTCCCGTTAAAAAAGCCTGTTGTGACTTTATACAATCGCAACTCGATCCATCGAACTGTATCGGTATAAAGGACTTTTCAGAGATTTATGGCTGTTTGGATTTAAGTAAAGCAGCAGAAAAGTTTATTTTTCGCCACTTTTTACAAGTCTCAGAAAGTGAAGAATTTCAAACCTTGCCCGAGGACCGCTTGGTCGACTTAATAAGTCGAGATGAACTTTTTGTGAAGTCGGAAGATGAGGTGAGGTTTGAATCAATGATTATCTCATCCTTTGACTCTCTGCATTGACCTTTTTAGACCCTAACATCAGTATGCATATTCTCCATACTGTTCTCTGTACATTTCCTAAGGTGCTAACAAAGAGAATTTGTTTAAAGATATAAATCTTCTTTTTTTTGATAAACATTTCCCTTATCCATGTGACCTTACTATGTGACTGAGGGGTGATATTGTAAGGAGAAATTAGATGTTAGTCACTGTAAAGGGTGAAAGAGTTAAGTAAATTTCAGTGAGGCAGATACATAAAGTATCAGTTGACTTAAAAAATGATTCATATCAAATTCTTAAATTATTATGGTCATCTACTAGGTTCTTGCAGCCTTGTTACGATGGGTAACTCATGATCTGACGAACAGAACACAGGAACTGAAGGATCTACTGAAACATATACGAGTGCCTTTTGTTTCAAATTCTTACCTTAACTCGATCATCCAGTGTTGTGAACAGGGCATGAGATCTGAGTTTAAAGAAACATTGATTGAGGCCTTCTCAGTGAGTATTTTAAAGTATGATTTTCCTATTTACTTAACCTCCAGGAATGACTTCTCTGGATTCTTGGCTGAGTTGTGATAACTATATGTAGATATCTCTCACATTATAATGGACCTGTCCAATACCCATGCCACAAGCACCTATACCAGATTTCAGACCAAAACAGCTCAAAAATCACACCCTTTTGGAGGGATTACACCATAATATACAGGAGTTTTTGATTAATAACTTTTTCCATAGACTGCTGGCAATGGTGTAACTAAGGCAGCTCTCTCTGGAAAAAGGGCTGTTAGGCAAAACCCAAACATGACAGCTTGCTTGCAAGCTAAACAGATTGTCATGAGAGATCTTTGCTATTATTATTATAGTTTCCATTTGGCTAATGACTAAAACTTTCATGACAAATATACTTTATTGAGTAAAAGTGCTTTTGCCTAGAAATTACAGACATGACAAGTTCACAGAAAACATTATTTGGATCTGAAAAAAATTTCTGGTAAAATGTGACTGCGAATATAACTCTTTAGATGTAATGAGCTGAAATTAATTTAGCATTTTAGTTGAACCTGTTGCCTGTGTTGGATGGATATCTCTTGACAGGCCAATTACTTCTCTCTGTGCAGGTCTAATATAGGTTTGTCCCCTAACTACCCCAACAAAGGGTGGGGTAATTTTCCTTAAAAGACCAAACCTTTGAAGTACACAAGTCATAAGTCCTTTATTCTGAGGTCAGCATACTACCCCTCCTATATTTGCAAATGTTGCAAACTGAGTCATTAAAAGTCATTTATTAATTTGCAGGAAAAAAAGAGAATTTCTACTCTTAGTACATTTCACAAACGACGACCCCCTGGTCCAACTGTGATGTACTTTGCAGGGGGGTACTTAAGAAGATCTCTGGATGTTTTGGAGTGTTTTGATCCTCTGACTCTCAAATGGACAATTCTCTCCCCTCTATCTGTGCCCAAGAGTGGTCTTGGGGCAGCTTATGTTGGTATGGTAAATACTGTATTAAGAAGATAGATAGATAGAGATATAGATGACCTCTATTTATACACAATGGTAATTTTTAAGTGACAAGCTTGTAAGGTCATGTGAAAGTAACAAGCTACTTGTAAATTCTCAATTATTAAAGGATGATATTATTCATTTGTCATGTAGGACAAAGAGAAAAGTTTGAGTCTTCCAAGGATTCAATTTTCAGACTGACAGATCTTATGGTTCAGTTCTCTACCACTGAGCTGCAGTGATTGTAGCTAGGCAATAAATCAGCTTTACCTGCATTCCTGATTCCAGCGGAATCCAGGAAACTTGTTATACATAGATGAAGTATATTGCCTTGAAGCTCAATGGTATTTTGCTGAACTCCAGATCAGTAAAGAGTTTGTATTAGATCCTGGCTTACACAATGCCTATCTCCTCCTGTCTCCTATACACAGCCTTTTAACTTTGTTGTGAAAACTGAGTGTGGGATCAAATGATAATCCCCTAGTTGATATTTTTTACTATTCTCATCACTTGCCAAATTGATATTCTATTGATAATAAAAAGAGAAAAAATGTCTCGATCACTCCTGGGAGTGGAATAGTTAACTGATAGGTAAACTTTGGTTGCATCAAGCTACAGAGACCTAAGCTCTGCCAGCTGACCCTTTGACCCCTAAGAGTGATTAACACCTAAGTTCTCCCTACAATATCTCCTGCTGAATCACACATTAAGCTCATGAGAATCAAGGAAATGATCATTAACTAAAGAAACTCTTGATTGTTCAATTCTCCTTACCAGTACTAGAGGAAATGTATAGAGAACAGTATGGAGAATATGCATACTGATATTAAGGTGTAAAGAGTTAAATAATTCAGTCTTGTATGTTGACTCAGTCATTAGCATAACCCTCCATTTGCAGATAACATGCTGTATATAATTGGTGGTCGCAACAACACCCCAGCTGGGAACATAGACACACCTTCCGTAGACAGGTATGATCCTCTGCGAGATGAGTGGAAGCCTATGGCACCCCTCAGTGTACCACGCAACAGGTTGGGCGTGGCAGTGGTAGATGACTGTATTTATGCAATTGGTGGAGGAAATGGGAACACATGTCACACATCAGTGGAGAAATATGATGTCAAACAAGATGAATGGACAACAGTTATGTCACTTAATTTTCCTCGCATAGGTAGGTTTTGGGCAAGGTTGTAGATTAATACACCTCTCCAAAACTGGAACTGTTTGGGTAACCAGTTGGCAAGAGGAAAAAATCTGTTGCTCAAATTTGTAGAAAATGTCACCAATTTGGCCACATGTTTGCATACAACACTATCAGAGTTTCATTTTCACTTTTTTCTGGTGAATAGTTTGTCTTGTAATTACCATTTTTATTGTTATTAGTTTGTTGTTTGGCAACTTTGAATAAAATAAAAAAAGGGGGCCTGTTAAAAAAATGTTGTCACGGCTTTTCAGCAATATTTTTGTTGAATTCAGTCACCATATTATTGAAATTTTCTTACTCTCAGTCCTTTCCTTTGGGGGTCAAGTGTTTGAGCTGCTTTTTGTGCAATGAAAAACTAAATTTGGCTCAAAAATACCGAAATGTGCTTAGTAATGTAGGAATAAAACAAAAGAGGGAATAATAAACCAAGTACAAGCCAGTATGGCCAAGGATGGAGTAGATCGACACAAATTGTAAATGACTATGAAATATTAGTTTAGAAAGATAGAAAAACACAAAAAAGGCGATAAGAAACCGGGAAGGAAAAAGAGTAAAAGAGGATGGAGAAGATTGATAACGATTGTAAATGACTACATAATATTAGTTTATTAAGATAGAAAAGCATAAAAGAGACAATGATAAATGAAGTCTGGAACTAGGATGACCTAAAAAAACTTTGAAAATTTTGGCCAAGGAGATGCACATTCTCTTTTTCAAGTGCTGTAACGGATGCTGTTTTTTTTTCGCTAGGTGTAGCTGTTGCTGTACTTGATAGAAAGCTTTATGCCGCAGGAGGATTTGATGGAAGACACAGGCTCAGGAGGTAAGAGAATGTTAATAGTTGTTTGAGTGTGATGTTGTTTTTCACGAAGTAAGCGCAAAGTAAGCCTTCGCTTTAGTGTAAGTTGTTTTTATCCAGTGAATGACACTAGCATGCTGTAATGTTCCTAATAAGAGTCGATAATACAACCTTGCGATCAGCACTCCATATGCTCTACCACTTAATGAACTGTAGGAGATTTGTGGTAGGCAGTTTAACAAAGTCCTTGATGATAAACTTCCTGCATACTACAAACTAAGATAGGAATGTCGATATCTATGCGTTATTGACCAAGCTTGCTCGGTGTAGATGGCAAGAAATTGGCCAGGTTCTTTTTCTTTGCTTCATATAAGCAATATAATAACTAATTCTTCTGCACAATGATGAAGTCGTGCGTGTTTCCTTTTTTGGGGATTAAAACCAAATGTTGTCAAAGATATATTTACATACACTCTCGTGAGTGGACAGGTGTATTGGTTGAAAGCTCTGTTATTCGAGAGTCACGTTTGTGGCTTCGCTGTGATTCCAAAGATCTCTTTATATAGGCTCTCATGAGTTGACAGGTGTAATGGTTAGAAGCTCTGTTATCGTAAAGTCTCGTTCGTTGCTTCGCTGTGATTTCAAATGGATGGTAGTTCTCTACCACCCTCTGATGTGATGATAATTACCATCCATATTATTTGTAGAAAATTTAAATCCTGATATGCTCAAAGCTAGACTAACTTTCTTCCCCTTTATCAACCCCCCTCTCCCCCCCCCCCTCCCCGTTCATATTTACAAGGGACATGTTTTTCTGAATTTCATTTCAGCGTTGAATGTTATGACGTGGATACTGATCTGTGGAAATTAGTGTCTCCGCTGGTCGAGCGTCGTAGTGGCGCAGGAGCAGCCTCGTTGAATGGCTTCGTGTATGCTATCGGTGGATATGACGGCGAAACACAATTAAATAGTGTTGAACGCTATAGCCCAGCCTCGGACATATGGATAACTGTTTCGCCTCTGATACACAGGAGAAGTGCACTTAGCGCGGCTGTTTTGTGCGGGAAACTTTATGTAGTCGGAGGTTATGATGGAGAAGGGTTTTTGAACACTCTCGAGGAATACGTCCCTGAACAAGATTGCTGGAAGTTGGTTAGCAGTATGAACCTGGGACGTAGCGGAGCGGGAATTGCAGTAGGTTGGAAACCTGCCACCTAGAGCCCCTTTGGTTGAGGCTCAAAAAGTAATCAATGATTGCATAGGTTTTGCTTTTCCCCGCGCTGTGATTGGCCCGGAAAACTCGTGCCAACCTCTCAACCAATCAAATGCGGCATTAAAACCAGTCACGACTCGGTCACTCGCGTTTTCCCGCGCAAAGTGGCGATTGCATGTGACAATTTTGCGTTCTCATTGGCTTCGTTCGACTGAGGAATTTTCCCTTGAGTGTCGAATCCCGGGTAGCAGTGGGTTCTTTTCTTCCCCATAACCTCTCGACCAATCAAATGTGAGACAAGAAAACAGTCGCGACTTATCACCCACTTTTTCTCGCGCGCTTCATGTAGTTTGGTTTGCATTTTTGATACTCAGAAAAATTTCCTCAACAGAGGAAACACAACATATTTACCACCATAGATAATCGCAACGAATTCAGAATAAAAACCGAAAAATAAAGAAGATATGCTTACTCTCACATGTGCGTTGTATTTTAACTTAGTGCTTTAATTTCCAAGTAATGGTTCATTACTTTACAATGAAAATATATGCTACCGAATCTCATTTATGTGGCCTATAAAATACGGGATAAAATACAGTATAAAATACGGTGCGATTTGGCCATTGGACCTCGTATGTTCGTCAAAGTCCTCATTCAGCTTTCTTTGGTGTAGCTCTCTAAATGCCAGCAGGCCCCGGATGTTCGAAGGATGAATAAATTTATCCACTGGATAGCGAGTGGATAGCGCCATCCATACTTTGAACAACCGACATAACACCATGGGTAAAATTTATCCGCTGAATAGCGGTTTGTCCAGCGGATAAGAAGTTATCCATCCTTTGAACAACCGGGGCCAGGTGTTTAAAATGCTCCGCAGCAAAAAGATCCGTGTGTATTATCAAGCATTTCTCTATCATCCTTATTTCAACTTCAGTTATGATGAAACAAAACCTCAAATACAATCAAGGACGCTTTCCATCTTGCTAAAATTCCTGATTCAACCTATTGAAATCCAAGCAAAACATGATCCACTAAAACATCAACCTTTGGCAATATTTCTTTTCCTTATCGGTTTGAGTGGAAATACTAGATCCATTTCTATCTCCATTTCTATTTCTACAACGTGACGTCTTTTCCTAGTGTACTGTTGACTTCCTGGAAAGCTGAGCCATCGATTGGCGCACTGAAATATTAAATAACAGCATCTTTTCCCAGTATTAATGTATCAAACTAAATATGTTGAAATTTTGCTGTAAAATAAGTTTCTAATTGACTCTCCGCGACTTTTCCTAGTATTAACGTTTAAAAAGTAAACATGTTGAAAATTTGCAGAAAAAAGTTTTGTAGTTCAGTCTCACGTTTCGACCTGATTGAACAGTGTCCCACCTCAACTCACCCAGCCGAAAAAAATAACTCTTGCATGCATTGCATGCCTATGATTTTACTGTTTGTCCAGGCACCGTTTCTTCTTTTAACTTTGTTTGTTGCGATTATATTGAGAACTGTTTTTTTTTTTCATTGCTCTGTTTGGTAGTTTTGTTTTGTTGAATCTTCTGCATAGCTCGTTCTCTCCTCTGATTAAAATTTCGTTCAAATCTTACACAATGCTTTTCTCGTCTCTGTTTGATTTCCAAGCTAATATCTACATCACTGTTTGTTTCAACTTGAATTTCTTTCCTATATTAGAATCTAGCCCTCTGTTCTTTTCCTTAACCCTTTAACTCCCATGAGTGACCAAGACAGAATTTCTCCTCACAATATCAACACAGAATCAAGCAGACAGGTGAGGAGAATAAAGAAGAAAACTCAATAAGGGGACTAAAAGTTGATCCAATGCCAAATTCTCCAAATTGAAATCATAAGTATTTTATGGCAGACAGTAGGGAGAATTACTAATGAGATCTTGGGAGTTAAAGGGTTAATTCTGGCTGATTGTCACGTTCATATCCTACGAACTGTTCGCACTCTTCTGTTTGGCGTTAGTATCTCGCGCAATGTTTTCTCCTAATTTTATCTCAATAATTCGCTCACCGTTTCTCTTCTTCTCTATTTGTTAATACTTTTCTTTTAGTATACTACACTTTGTTTGTTCTCTTCTCCACTTAACTTTTAGATTAATATGTAGCGCCCTGTTCTCAAGCTGTTTGATTTTTGCGGTAATTCTCAAGCATTTTTCTCTTTTCTGTCTGATTTTTACATAATTACCTTCTCTTTTTTTTTTGGATTGTGTCTTCAGTATCTCGGCACTTTTTGTTCCCTCTTCTGTTAGTTTGTTATTATTTCCTGCACCTGTGAACAGTCTTAATCACTCTTTAATGATCACGTGTGCGTCCAACGGTAGAATTGAAAACAGAATTATAATGATTTAAATCAAGGATTAATTTTGAGTTTTGACGAAGCTTTGCTAACATTCTGTCATTTTTATACATTGAGCCTATTTCCTGCGTTCAGTTTTCCCATCCCAATTTATTGTAGTTCCCTATTGATAGTATACTTAATAGATCAAACGACTTAATTGCAGGTTTCATCGTCGCTGCCTTTTGATTAAGCCCTTTCTACAAAAGCACGCAAAATCTACTACTTGACTAAATAAAAAAATTAAAAATGTCTTCGCAAAGTAATACCAGTGTCCATTGAACGACAATGTTTAGGACGAAAAATCTTTGTGTAGGATCAGTAGTCACTCTGTTTCTTCTCCGCCTCGTTGTTGTCCTCCTCGAATTCTTCTTTCCTGAAAAAACATTATAAATTTGTCGCTATTTCATCTTTAAAGTAAACGGAACAGATTTTTCAATTGAAGAAATTACTTTCTTCTTCAATGCCATTGGGTATGATTATCCAAACTTGTCGAACATACCGTGCTTGATACGAAAGTGACTTTAAGATTGTCAGTTTATTGTAATTTTTGTTGATTTTTTACAGGTAAAGTTAAATTTTTCAGCTTCTCAAGTTACCTTCATCGTCATGGCCGCTAGTATCGCATCGACCATGAGTAATTATTTCTGAGTATATTGCATACAAATGAAACGCTCATTCAACGCAAATTTTGGAGAGCCTTCAGTGAAAATATTCCGGCTCCGAGCGCTAGATAAAATCAAGTTCTTTTTCTTGGCATTTTATGGATGAAAGACAAAGACAAAAACAAACAACAAAATTAGGACAACTGAGTGAACTGAACAGGTTAAATGTGCTAATTGGTTTATCGTAGAAAATTGCTCATTATAATCAGACTTACCCTTTTTTCATAAATCAAATGTCACGTTGTCCCCCATCAACACAAACGGAGCCCATTGGGAAGGTTTAGAAAATCCATTGCTTCTCAACCATTGAACGGCCTGGTGAAGAGATTCACTGGCACTTTCTCCACGCACAAGGTGTTTATAAAAATGTTTCATGAGATGCGCCGTTGCTTTGTCTTCTATAGCCCACGATGCTACCAACACTGAACGTGCACCAGATGCTAAGAATGCTCGAGCGATTCCAATAACTCCTTCCTTTTTAATCAATCCACGCCCACTGTGACAACAGCTGAGTACTACCAGTTTAGCTCGCACTTGAACTCCTTCAATGTCGGACACTGTCAGGAGGTAGTCTTCCTCTTGTGGAGTACTGTTAGTAGTACATTGAGGAGAGAGGGCAATCTCTCCTCTTTCGGCATTTCCATGTGCGGCAAGATGTATCAGACTCACTGAAGGTATTGCTTGAAGAACCGCCTGCTTTGTTGCGCGACTTCCCAATAAAGGCTGAACACCCAGTAGTTGACCAACTATCTCTGCTTCCTTACTTGCACAGAACAATGGTGTAATGTCAATGAGACGTCCATTGTATTGTACTTTGCCAACCGTAGGATCACCCACGACCAGTCCGCCAGTTTGACTGTGATAGTCTGCTGGACATTCTTGAATGAGCCGGAGAGTTGTCAGTGAAGGGACGATGCGTATTCTGTACTTCTCCGATAAATACTTTCCGGCTTGTTCATCACGCAAGGCAGCAAATGGGACTCGGTACGAAAAACGATCCGGTACAATGATGATTTCGGGCTCTGTGAGTAAATCTGCCACAGGTGCGACGATCCATTCGTAGCACAAATGATGACTTCTTCCGGTATCTTTGGTTTCGTCACCTCGCAAATTTGCTTGGCTCTCTTCATGAAGAGATGTCGTCACGTTGTCATCCAGCGATCGGTCTTCGCAGTTCGCTGCGGGTAAAACACCAAAGCATTCGGCACTCTTTTTGAAAACTCCTTCCACTTCGCAAACTTGCTCAGCAATAAGAGTGTCTATTTTCACTTCGTCTGTTTTTCGAAAGAAAATGTCTCCATTTGTTTTCAATACCCAGAGAAGAACTTGCCGATCTTCATACGAAATGTACAAAAAAACACAGTTACTTTCTCTTCTCGCGATGTTTTCAATCCCGAACCATGATTGTGGATCAGCTGAGATGTGGCTTGCAGCGGAGTACTTGTCTGCCATGAATTCTGCGAGGACTCTTGCTCGTCCCAGCTCCTCAACATAGAGAGCATCTCGAAATTTTCCGGTACCGCAAAGGAGGCGAGTGAGTAACTTGAAGGGAAAAGTACCGCGTTGCTCTAACAGAGAAATTTCAAATCCACTGTTTCCTTTCTGAAGAGTTCTGATTTGTTCATATTTTTCAATACATTGGAGAAGATATTCTATTGCCTCCACAACCTCTAACTGCGATATCTTTAACATTGTAATACTGAGAAGGCTTTCAAACTCAGTCATTTTGTGTCCAATTTGGCTGCTTATGGAACAAGCTTTCTGTAAATAATATGCTGCCTTATCATATTCACCAAACGATTGAGATAGACGTCCAACGTGTAGGTATAGTTGTGCTTCGCACTCTCTATTGCCACATTCTCTGCTGATTGTAAGCGCCTTCTCACAATGTTCTTTTGCCTTCTGACTGTCATTTACAGAATCAGAGACATCTGCCAAACCTACAATAGCCTTGGCTTCCAGTTCTCTGTCACCAATTGCAATACTGACGTCGACTGCTTTGTCCAAATGTTCTTTAGCTTGCCGATTTTTTTCAAGATTGCTGTACACCGTTCCAAGATTATAGTATGCTGAACCTTCTCCTCTTCTGTCGCCAATTTCTATCGCGATGGCAAGTGCTTTCTCGTGATATTCTTTAGCATTCTGATATTCGCCAAGGGAACGAAACACACTTCCGAGGTTCCCGTATGTTGTTCCTTCTCCTCTTCTGTCGCCAATTTCTATCGCGATGGCAAGTGCTTTCTCGTAATATTCTTTAGCATTCTGATATTCGCCAAGGGAATAAAACACACTTCCGAGGTTCCCGTATGTTGTTCCTTCTCCTCCTCTGTCGCCAATTTCTATCGCGATGGCAAGTGCTTTCTCGTGATATTCTTTAGCATTCTGATATTCGCCAAGGGAATCAAACACACTTCCGAGCTTCCCGTATGTTGTTCCTTCTCCTCTTCTGTGGCCAAT